TCCACCCACAGACACACACATTATTATAGCTTTTATTATTTTCTGAGAAAGCTATCATTGTATTTTTCTAAACTCCTTAATTCAATTGCTACCTTAAAAACCCATTAAAAAGTCTCCGTTGGGATACATTCTTATTTCAATATATAATTAATTTCTAGTTTAATTTTATTGTAATTAGAGATCATGGTTAGCACAATGTATGTTTAAAAATTGTTTTTTAATTTAAATTTTAATTTTTATAAAATAGAGACAAGGCCTCATTATGTTGCCCAGACTGGTTTCAAACTTCTGGGCTCAAGTGATCCTCCTACCTCAGCCTCCCAAAGTGCTGGGATTATAGGTGTGAGCCACGATGCCAGGCCTGTTTTTAAAATTTTATAGAGATTTTTATCATGGTTTTCTGATTTTAGGATTTTTATAAATGTTTCATGATGCTTGACAGGAAGGCATATGATCAGCAGGGTAAAAGCTTGTACGTAGTTATTAATTATGCTGCTCTAAATAAATGTTCAAATTCTTTATATTCCCACATACTTTTTCTATACTTCATTTATCATAGGCTAAGACAGTAATTTCTGAGTTCTTAACAATTTTATGTATTTAGTTATATGTTATTTGATTCATAAAAGATCCAGAGTACTATGTCTTTGTTACTGATCATGTCTTCTGTGGATGTAAAATGGTATTTTTTGCTGTGTTCTAACTTCCCTTTTAATAAATCGAGTGTGTTTCCAGTTTAAGGCCATCATCAGGTAGTTATAGCAAAAAAATTGTTGAGAAGAATGGGGACCAGAGAGCAAGAATTATAAATTAAATTAGAAATTATAATCCTACATCTGAAATAAGTAGTGTTCCCTATATGCTGTTCCAAACTGAAATGGTGGTTGAATCATCATCTATGTCATCAGTGAAGATTGACAATGTGGGTGATCCACAAACAGGAATAATCTCAATCCACCCAGTATGGAATTAAAACATTCTGTAGAACATGACTTCCAAATTCCTATTAAAGAGCACACACAAGAGCGACTGTGCTCAGTAGCGGCACTGTGTGTTATCTGCTAGGGCTAAAGACCAAAGGTGATTAAGGATCACAGAATGGAAGAACGATGAACGAGTTGCTGAAACATAACGTCTGAGGATTCTTTTATTTTCAAGACCAGTTTCTATGTCTTCAATTAAGGCTTCTGTTTTTTTTTTGGGGGGGGGCGGGCAGGGGGTAGTTTTGCTCTTGTTGCCCAGGCTGGAGTGCAATGGTGCGATCTCCACTCACCACAACCTCCGCCTCCCAGGTTCAAGCGATTCTCCGGCCTCAGCCTCCCGAGTAGCTGGGATTACAGGCATGGGCCACTGTGCCTGGCCAATTAAGGCTTTTGACCCTACTCGAAGGAATTATTCCAGGAAAGTATCTGATAAACTGAGTCCTCTGATATGAAATACAAAATGTATGAAACCGGAACACATACAGGGTGAAACTCATCAAACAGACTGTCTTATATATGCCTTCTGGAATAAAATGTGATAACAGGACTTTTCTAATTGTTTTTTCCCAAGTTATACATTCAGCACATATATCACATAATATAGTATGGTTTCATAAATGTTTTGAAATAGGCTACAACAAAATTTAAACTATGCACTTAGGCCAGGCGCAGTGGCTCATGCCTGTAATTCCAGCACTTTGGAAGGCCGAGGCAGGCAGACCACTTGAGGTCAGGAGTTCAAGACCAGCCTGGCTAACATGGAGAAACCCCATTTCTACTAAAAATACAAAAATTAGCCAAGTGTGGTGGTGCATGCCTGTAATCTCAGCTACTCAGGAGGCTGAGGCAGGAGAACTACTTGAACCCAGGAGGCAGAAGTTGCAGTGAGCCAAGATCAAGCCTCTATACTCCAGCCTGGGCGTCAAAGCGAGACTCTGTCTCAAACAAAACAAAACAAAATAAAACAAATCTATGCACTTAGCCATGTATACTTAGAAGGAAGCATAAATCAATAACATGTACCTAGATACATTCAAAAACTCATTTTAAACAATAGTTTCCATCTTATTTCCTGCCAAGTCCCCAACTTTTCCCTACCTTCTATTAGATGGCTCTAAGCAAGAAACTTAAAAATCAAACACAGGATAATTATCCTGAAAACTGATGCAATTCAACTATGACTCTATGTGGACATCAATACCCTTTGAATGTTTCCAGATTCACAGCCTCACTCACAGAGGGCCCCATTCTTCACGCCATCCCACGGCTCTCATAGTTCATCCCACATTTGCCATTTGGGGACTGTTGTGTGCAGGGGAAATATGTGATATGAGAGAATAAGTGTTGTGGAGTAACGACAACTGTGAACTCTTCTCAGCACTTCTATTATTTGGACTCTGATGAGAGCCATCTGCTCTCCAACTACACTGCAAGTTCCTGAGAGCTGAGGCTGTGTCCTTAGTGCTCACAGGGAATAGCTCTGGGCCTTGTCCAGAAGTCCATGATCAATGATATCGGACAAACTGACTCAAACCCAAGTTGTGACCTGTCTTGTCTATTTTACAGATGGCACCCCACTGCAGTCCCATTCAGGGAGACCTGCTTTAAGTGCCAACAAGCTATCCTAATACTACTCATCACCAGCTCAAAGGAAACAAAACTGGCCGGGCATGGTGGCTCATGTCTATAATCCCAGCACTTTGGGAGGCCAAGGCGGGTGGATCACGAGGTCAGGAGATCGAGACCATCCTGGCTAATATGGTGAAAACTCATCTCTACTAAAAATATAAAAAATTAGCCAGGCGTGGTGGCAGGTGCCTGGAGTCCCAGCTACTCAGGAGGCTGAGGCAGGAGAATGGCGTGAACCCAGGAGGCAGAGCTTGCAGTCAGCCAAGATCATGCCACTGCACTCCAGCCTGGGTGACAGAGTGAGACTCCATCTCAAAAAAAAAAAAAAAGCTATTTCAACTGGTGTGGAAGAGTTAGCCTTCAGCAGTCTTGCTTAAGTGTAGGTTAATCATTAAAAAGATGGCATTACATGTGTTTAAAAGCATTCCAAAAGACAACTGAGGCCTATAGAAAAGTCACAAGCCCGTGTCCTTGGAAAAAGAATATATTTAGCTACATGCGTCTCTTCCACGCTCCACACACCACAGTGAATGGAAGTAACGTGGAGTCCGGGGAAGATGTTACTTTTCATTCCTTATAGTGTTGTATTGTTTGAAATATTTCAGTGAATATGTACTTCTCTGGTAAGTTTTAAATAACCCACATTAGGAAATCACAATGAATGGGCGGCGGGCGCACCCGCACCTCTTCCTGCCTTCCTCCCCCATGCTTGCCAGGCTGAGCGGGGGAGGACGACGCTGGCTATGCTGTCCACGTGGGCGCCTCAGCTGGGCTGCTCCCTGGCTGTGTAATCTCGGGCACGTTACTTAACTTTCCTCTGCCTCAGTTTCCTCATCTGTGAAGCTGGGGAAGGTTCTTGGGGAGACTGAGGGAGCTCATGTTCATGGCGCCAGTGGAGTGCTTGCCCCAGGCACCTTGGCCATGGTTGGGCACCACAATGGTGCTGATGGGGACCTGAACGAGAAGGTATGTGGCCTGAGGCGAAGATCTGAATCCTGGATCTACCACATGTGGCTGTGTGCACACAGCAAGCGGCCCAGCTCTGAGGGAACCCAGTCTCCTCACCTGTGGACTGGGAGTGACAGTTCCGCCCCCACAGGCTTGCTGTGGAGAGGAGGCGGCGCACCACGTGTGTGGTGTGGAGCACAGTACCAGCACTCTCCTGATAATCAGTGAGTAGGGGGATTTCTATACAGAAACTTTGTGGAAATTGAAATATTTCTGTATATGGTAGCAAAAAAGGAAAACACAAAACAAACTCTTTCCACTGAGGCTGATTCCGCATGCGCAGAGCCCCAGCTTGGAAACACGCTGCTGGGCCACTCCAGATACTCTTGTGAGGGCCACCTGACCTGGGTGTTTGAAGCATGAAGCCACTTGCCTTTGCTTGGAGTTTTCTTTTAAACATATTGGCTGGAATCTTAAAATTGTGAGTAAATATAAACATGGGTGGCTGTGTCTGTTATGAGGGCTCATATATTCCTTCTAGTGCCGAGGACTCTGCCCCCACGCAGCAAACGCCAATTAGTTTTTCTTGAATGATACAAATGAATGAACCTAGGAAAAATCCGGAAGTGACTTTCGCTTTGTTGAGACTGGTGAGTGTGTCTGTATACAGAGGCTCACCGGAGCTATTTTAGAAGTATCTGCAGATACTGGGCAGAGTGGGGTGATGAGACCCGGGCTCTGGTCCTCCCAACCCAGGTTCTGGTCCTCCCCACCCTGGCCACCTATGGATCACTCCCTGAAACTCCCAGAGCCCATTTCCTCTTCACTGGTCTTCAGGGCTCCTCCCTGCAGCTCCAACTTTCCACACCACGACCAGCAGCCCTCTCTCGTCCAGCTGTAGGTTTCAGAGCACTCCTCAGTGGTCGGTATCAGTCATTACCCCTCATGGGGAATTTATGGCAATATAGTCACTTTGAACATCATATAAGGAACAAAACCAGAAACAACCGTGCCCTACAATTCCACAGAGATGATTTTTGTTAATTGCTATTTCCACTGTCAACCCCCAGTCCCCTCAATGGCTGGACCAAGTGGCAGGCTCCCAAGTGAGCCCATAGGTATGCTCAGCGCACACAGGATGCCAATCAAACTTCACCGTGGAAGCAGTGGGAGGGCAGCAGGACAGTCCCAGGCAGACCAGCCCTAGCATTCATTCTGCCTTGGAAAAGCCAGGTCTGAACAAGGGATGGTGTTGTCCTACCGAGAGGAGGACGGTGGAGGGGGCAGATGGAGGAAAACAAGGTCTCAGAGACCCAGAGAACCTGGACATGCGTTTTGCACAACCATCTACAGAGCCCTACAGCTTCCCTCGCATGTGGTCCGGTGGCCCTGACCCATCCCAGTGGCCTGGAGAAGGGCTCCCGGCTAGCAGGGGCCTACCTTGCAGTGCGTAGTGCTGACTGGAAGCCCAATGTTGGAGGCGATCACCACCGTGAAGGCTGAGGCCAGCTCGATCGTGAAGCCGCTGCGGGGGGAGCATGAGACACGTCACGGGCGTCCTCTGTATCGCCTCCCTGACACCCCGCGGGTGACAAAGGCTTGCCAGAACATTCTCTGGGGTGACTGCCGACTGCTGACTGGGCAAGATCAACTTTAACAGAACAAGAGGTCGCTGCTCAATGACAGCGATTCCCACCAAGGCTGCGTTTTCCTGTGCACGGCCCCCAGAAGCCTGGCTTTCTGATACGTTTCAAAGACCACACACTGGGCCAGACATTCCTGCTGTGCAGTAAGATAGTAAATCAGTCATTTCTAAAACGCAAAGGAAAAACTATGCTCTCATTTAAAAAATGTGCACTTATTGCAAAAATGTATTTTTCTCAGATTACGAATTTTTCTTCAAATCAATCTTCTAAAATATCTTTTATTGAAATTATTTTCAAATGAGAACTTAAAATTGGAAATTTATATAGGAGGCTCACTGGAACTATTTTAGGTTTCTCTGCAGATGCAGGGCAGAGCTGCGTGATGAAACCTGGGTTCCGGTCCTCCCCACCCTGGGTGCCTTTGGATCACTTCCTGAAACTCCCAGAGCCTGTAGGAAAAGGAAACCTCCCGTATGTTTTAAAAAGAGAGAGATTTCCTACCACAGGTGGCTCCAATTTTTGGTCATGTTCTGAAAGTTCTGGAAGTTCCTTTAACCCCTGATGCAGCTAAAGGCTATGCAGTTGAGAGACCACATTTAAAGCCTCCAGAGCTCACCCATGATGACAGGGGGCGCCTCGCTGTCTGGCAGAGCAAGAGGAAAGTAACCCCAGCAGGGGGGTTGCTGAGAGCTGGGGTGGCCAGAGAACTTTCAGGAAAGGCCAGCCTGGGGGCTTGCTTAAGTCTGTGCCCTCCCTGCCCACCTGCCTCTGGCCCCCGTGCTGGCTAAGGGTGAGCTGCTTCTCTCCTCCCTGCCTGCTCTGCTCTGCTACCCCTGCTTGTCTGCCCTTCCCGCTCCTCATCTCAGGGACCCTGTGGCTGGGGGCCGGGACACAGTGAGGGAGGGCAAGGATAGGTGGCATGGTAAGTAGGGCCATTCTTGCCCACTGTCCCCTCCTCCCTGTGACTCGCTGCCGACTGCCGGTGCTGAGCAGGCTGTTCAGACACAGCCAGGCAGCTCTAGCCAGGCCTTGGATGACAAGACCTGCCCTTCCCGTGACCAGCCCAGGCTTACCTGGACGGCGTGATGGGAGTGAGGTCTTTCCCCATGGTCTGGATCACTCTTCTCCCCCAGACCCAGAGGCCTGTGCAGATTCCAACTCCTCCATAAAACAGCAGCCAGACGGGTGTAGCTGCTTCTTGCATTACCCCGCCTTGTTTGTAAATCAGCCACAAAGCTACCAGGGGACCGATGGCATTACTGGGAAAAATAAAAAGAGAAAAGATTAACGATATATGCAAAAAGAGAAAAGATTAACGATATATGTACATGACACAGGTGACTTTGTTTTATTGTGCTTCATTTTATTCACTTTATCACACTCCACAGATATGATGTTTTTTCTTTTTCTTTTTTTTTTTTTTTTTTTCTGAGATGGAGTCTTACTCTGTTGCCCAGGCTGGAGTGCAGTGGTGTGATCTCGGCTCACTGCAACCTCTGCCTCCCAGGTTCAAGCGATTCTCCTGCCTCAGCCTCCCGAGTAATTGAGACTACAGCTGTGGGCCACCACACCCGACTAATTTTTGTATTTTTAGTAGAGATGGGGTTTCACCATGTTGGCCAGGCTGGTCTCGAACCCCTGACCTTGTGATCTGCCCACTTTGGCCTCCCAAAGTGTTGGGATTACAGGCATGAGCCACTGCACCTGGCCTTCAGATACGACGTTTTTTTACGAATTTGAGGTTTGTGGCACCCCTGCATCGAGCAAGTCCACTGACGCGATTTTCCAGCGGTATGTGCTCACGTCATGTCTCTGTGTCACATTCTGGTAATTCTCATAGTATTCCTGACCTTTTCATTATTATCATGTCTGTTATGGTGATCTGTGATCAGTGATCTTTTATGTCACTATTATAATTGTTTTGGGGTGCCATGAACTGTTCCCATATGAGACGGTAAGCTTCACTGATAACTGCTATGTGTGTTCTCCCTGCTCCACTGACCGCTCACTCCCCTGTCTCTCTCCCTCTCCTCCTGCCTATTTCCTGAGATATTGCTATATTGAAATCAAGCCAATAAATTACCCTACAGTGGCCTCTAAGTGTTCAACTGAAAGGAAGAGTTGCATGTCTCTCAGTTTAAATCAAAAACTAGAAATGATTAAGCTTAGTGAGGAAGGCATATCAAAATCAGAGATAGGCCAAAAGCTAGGCCTCTTGGGCCAGTTAGCCAAGTTGTGAATGCAAAGGGAAAGCTTCTTGAAGGAAATTTAAAGTGCTACTCCAATGAACACATGAATAATAAGAAAGCAAAACAGCCCTAGTGCTGACATGCAGACAGTCTAAGTGGTCTGGATAGAAGATCTAACCAGCCACAACATTCCCTTAAGTCAAAGCCTAATCCAGAGCAAGGCCCTAGTTCTCTTCAATTCTGTGAAGGCTGAGAGAAGTCAGGAAGCTAAAGAAAAGCTGGAAGCTAGCAGAGGTTGCTTCAGGAGGTTTAAGGAAAGAAGCCATCTTTATAGCATAAAAGTGCAAGGTGAAGCAGCAAGTGCTGATGGAGAAGCTGCAGCGAGTTCTCCAGAAGATCCAGCTAAGATCATTGATGAAGGTGGTTACAGTAACAATAAATTTTCAATGTAGAAGAAACAGTCTTCTATTGGAAGAAGATGCCAGCTAGGACTTCCATAGCCAGAGAGAAGGCAATGCCTGCCTTCAAGGGACAGGCTGACTCTCTTCTCAGAGGCTAATGCAGCTGGTAACTTTAGTTGAAGCCAATGTTCACTTACTATTCCAAAAATCCTATTGCTCTTAGCAATGATGCTAAATCTACTCTGCCTGTGTTCTAGAAATGGAACAACAAAGCACATCTGTTTACAGCATGGTTTACTGAATATTTTAAGCCCACTGTTGAGACCTACTGCTCAGAAAAAAAATTAATATTTCAAAATATTACTGCTCATTGACAATGCACTTGGTCACCAGAGAGCTCTGATGGAGATATGCAAGGAGATGAATGTTGTTCTCCTGTCTGCAAATACAGCATCTGTTCTGCAGCCCATGGATCAAGGAGCAATTTGACTTTCAAGTCTTATTTTACTTAAGATATACACTTTGTAGGGCTAGAGCTGCCATAGATAGTGATTCCTCTGATGGGTCTAGGGAGTCCATTGAAACCTTCTGGAAAGGATTCCCCATTCTAGATGCCAATAGAACATTTGTGATTCATGGGAGGAAGTGAAAATACCAACATTAACAGGAGTTTGGAAGAAGGTGATTCCGACTCTCACATATGACTTTGAGAGATTCAAAACTTTAATGAAGGAAGCCACTGTAGATGTGGTGGAAATAGCAAGAGAACTAGAAGTGGAGTTTGGCGATGTGACTGAACTGCTGCAATCTCAAGACAAAACTTGAACAGATGAGGAGGTGCTTGGTATGGATGAGCAAAGAAAGCTTTTTGAGATGGAAGCTACTCCTGGTGAAGATGCTGTGAACATTGTTGAGATGACAACAAAGGATTTAGAATATTCCACAAACCCAGTTGTCAGAGCAGAGGCTGGGTGTGAGGGGACTGACTCCAATTTTGAAAGAAATTCTACAGTGGGTAAAATGCTATCAAATTGCATTGCATGCTACAAAGAAATCTTTTGTGAAAGGAAGAGTTAATTGATGCAGCAAATTTCATGGCTGTCTTAATTTAAGAAATGGCCACAGCCACCCCAACCTTTAATCACCACCACCCTGATGAGTCAGCAGACATCAACATCAAGGCCCAGACCCTCCATCAGCAAAATTATGATTTGCTGAATGTTCACAGGGTTGCTAGCATTATTTTTTAGCAATAAAGTATTTTCAAATTAAGGTATATACATTGTTTTTTAGACACATTTAATAGACTATGGTACACCATTACAGAAACATAACTTTTCTATGTGCTGGGACACCAAAAACTTCATGGGTATTGTGAAACTTGTTTTATTGCAGTGGTCTGGAACGGAACCCACAGTGTCTCCCAGGTATTCCCGTACATGGTGACTTTTGTCTTGAGCATAGCTCATCTTGGTGTATTTGAGGTTCATCTATATCATCTATTCATGGTCAAAATGATTTTTTTTTAAATTTTGGTAAAAAGCATAACATAATATTTACCATTGTAATCAATCTTATTTATAGTTCAGCAGTGTTAAGTATATTTACATTGTTGTGAAACAGATCTCCAGAGCTTGTTCATCTTGCAAATGTGAAACTCTGTACTCTTCAAACAAATTCCCACTGCCCCTCCCTGCAGCTAATGGCAACCACCATTCTACTTTCTAGTTCCAGGAATTTGACTGCTGTAGACAGCTCACAGGAATCATATTTATCTTTTTTTTGAGACGGAGTCTTGCTCGGTCGCCCAGGCTGGAGTGCAGCGACGTGATTTTGGCTCACTGCAACATCCACCTCCCGCGTTCAAGCAAGTCTCCTGCCTCAGCCTCCTGAGTAGCTGGGACTACAGGCACGTGCCACCATGCCTAGCTAATTTTTTGTATTTTTAGTACAGACGGGGTTTCACTATGTTAGCCAGGATGGTCTTGATCTCCTGACCTCATGATCCGCCCCTCAGCCTCCCAAAGTGCTGGGATTACAGGCATGAGTAGTATTTATCTTTTTGTGATGGTTTATTTAACTTAGCCTAATGTCCTCCAGGTTCATCCATGTTACAGCAGGTGACAGGACTTCCTTCTTTTTTAAGGCTAAATAATATTCCACTGTATGCACGGACACATTTTGTTTCCATTCAGTGGACATCTGGGTTGCTCTCCCCTCTTGCCTACGACAAACGGCAGTGCTTTGAACATGGGGTACAAATATCTCTTTGAGACTCTGCTTTCAATTCTTCTGTATGTATACCCAGAAGCAGGAATGCTGGATCATAGGGGAGGTCTGTTTAATTTTTTGAGGAGCCTCCATCCTGTTTTCCATAGTGGTTACACCATTTTACACCCCTACTAACAGTGCACAGGGTTACCATTTCTCTACATCCTTCACAACACTTGTTACTTTTTTTTTTTTTTAAGTGGTAGCCATCCTAATAGGTGTGTAATTTATTATTATTTTTGAGACAGAGTCTCCCTCTGTTGCCCAGGCTGGAGTGCAGTGGCGCAATCTCACCAGGGTGGAGTACAGTGGCGCAATCTCGGCTCACCGCAACCTCTGCCTCCTGGGTTCAAGTGATTCTCGTGCCTCAGCCTCCCGAGTAGCTGGGACCACAAGTGCCCAGCACCAGGCCTAGCTAATTTTTGTATTTTTAGTAGAGGTGGGGTTTCACCATGTTGTCTAGGCTGGTCTTGAACACCCAACCTCAGGTGATCTGCCCACCTCGGCCTCCGAAAGTGTTGAGATTATAGGTGTGAGCCATCGCGCCCGGTCTATTAAATTCATTGATTTTTTTTTTTTTTTGAGACCGAGTTTCACTCTGTCTCCCAGGCTGGAGTACAGTGGTGCGATCTTGGCTTACCGCAACCTCCACCTCCTGGGTTCAATTGATTCTCCTGCCTCAGCTTCCCGAGTAGTTAGGACAACAGGCACGTACCACCACACCCAGCTAATTTTTGTATTTTGAGTAGAGATGGGGTTTCACTTACCATGTTGGCCTGGCTGGTTTCGAACTCCTGACCTCAAGTGATCCACCCACCTCGGCCTCCCAAAGTGCTAGGATTACAGGCATGAGCCACCACGCCTGGCCAAAATTAATTTTTTAAACAACCAAGTTCACAACACAACAGCCAAGTTATTTTTTTCTTCCTTTTTTCCTCAAATTTCTATTTTCTCTGCCACCCCCTGCTGCTGGTACTAACATTAGCTGCCAGTTTGGGACAGACTGTCAGGCCCCATACTATGGGTGGCAACATTTTGCTAAGCATCCATTCCCATAGCTGCCCTGCACAGCGGGCACTGTTGCTCCCGTCTTACTGACAAGGAAACCGAGGCCAGGGTCCCACCTCTGAGGTGGCAGAGTGGGCACGGCCCAGGCTGCTTCAGGCCCTCCTGCATGGGCTCCAGTCCCTTCACTGCTTATGTCTGTCAGGCCCCTGGAGCCCATACAGGCCCCGAGGTGCTCTTCACAGCTTCCCTGGCTCTTGTCTCCTCCCCCAGCCAGCTATGTAGACTGGGTGTCACTGAGTCACTGGAACTGGCTTCCAAGTTGGCTTTGGTCTCGCTGTGTGACCCTGAGCATCAGATCCCATCTCTGAGAGATGCCCACCCCGGCTCAGAGGGGTGTTAGAGACGGGGTAGGATAGGCCATGGCAGCTCAGTGATGAGGCCTCGGAGCTCAACCTCATGCCGAATGCATGGACGCCTCTTCTCAGATGACTTCTAGAATGGTGCTTTCACTAGACACCCTCCCTGCTCCAAAGCCCCAGAATAGTCCCCACACTGCAAGCAACTGCTCGGAATTCTACAGTTACCCGAGCAGCCACTGCCTAGACGCTTCCTTTGAAATGAAACATGGTGTGTGTGAATGTGCATGAGTGCATGTGTGAATGTGCGTGTGTGAGTGCATGTGTGAGTGTGCGTGTGTGAGTGCATGTGTGAGTGTGCGTGAGTGCATGTGTGAGTGTGCGTGTGTGTGAGTGCGTGTGTGAGTGTGCGTGTGTGAGTGCATGTGTGAGTGTGTGTGTGTGAGTGCATGTGTCAATGTGCATGTGTGTCTGTGCGTGTGTGTGTGCAGCTGAGTGTGTGAGTGGGAGAGAGTATGTTGTGATTTTTCCATGAATATGTTTTTCTCATCTCCCTAACTGGCGTTTAAACTTCTAATGGATGGGGGCCCAGTTTCTAGTGCTCTGCCAGTGCCAGGCCTTCCATCAAGAATGCTTGATGAGGAGGAAGCAGGACGGTGTGGGGCAGACAAAAAGTTACTAACGTAGGACAGAGCATGCTGTCTCCAAGAAAATACCAAATAAAATACCACAGAAACGCCCATGTGATGCTGAGCAGAACATAAGATGCCCAGGTTCGTCTGCAGCAAAGAGCAGAGACGCAGCTGCATGTGGGGAGGCGTTGTGCGCAGCCCATGGGGAGTCACTGACTGCAACAGAAGACGACAACGGCACAGTCCCCTGAACCGTCAGTGGCTGACCATGCCAGTGACAGCACAAGCAGAAACGGACGGAAACCGAGTGAGTGGGGAGCACCATCCTGAGCATGTTACACAGGGGAAGCCTGGGAGGTTGGGACTCGTTTTCCCGCATTTTACAGATTGGGAAACAGAGACTTCGGAAAAGCAAGTGCCTTGTCTAGGGGTTACACAGCTGGAAGACGACAGCAGAGACCCAAACTTGGGGCTCTGAGGCCCCAGGAGGCCGCCCTGCTTCTTGCACACGAGGCCTGGGCGTGGGGTGGGGCGGGTGGGGTTGGTGGGGTCAAGGTTGGAGGGTCATATCCGCCTGTCACTACACACTCATTTGCAGGATGCCTGTGACATTACCATGTGGGGTGACCTGCAGGCTCAGGTGGCAGCTCCAGCGGCTGCACCATGCAGTGGGGAGAACTAAAGCCCACGAGAGGGGTGGAGCCTTCTCACTGGGTTAAAGATGTCACTGAAGGATGGCTGGGCGCAGTGGCTCACACCTGTAATCCCAGCACTTTGGAAGGCTGAGGTGGGCGGATCACCTAAAGTCAGGAGATTTTTGTTGTTGTTGTTGTTGTTGTTTGAGATGGACTCTAACTTCGTCGCCCAGGCTGGAGTGCAGTGGCCGGATCTCAGTTCACTGCAACCTCCGCCTCCTGGGTTCACACCATTCTCCTGCCTCAGCCTCCCGAGTAGCTGGGACTACAGGGGCCTGCCACCATGCTCGGCTAATTTTTTTGTATTTTTAGTAGAGACGGGGTTTCACTGTGTTAGCCAGGATGGTCTCGATCTCCCGACCTCGTGATCCGCCTGCCTCGACCTCCCAAAGTGCTGGGATTACAGGCGTGAGCCACCGCGCCTGGCCGAGTTCAGGAGTTTGAGACCAGCCTGGTCAACATGGGAAACCCCGTCTCTACTAGAAATAGAAAAATTAGCTGGGCCGGGTGGTGAGCGTCTGCAATCCCAGTTGCTTGGGAAGGCTGAGACAGGAGAATCACTTGAACTTGGGAGGAGGAGGTTGAAGTGAGCCGAGATCAGGCCACTGCATTCCAGCCTGGGGAACAGAGTGAGATTCTGTCTTAAAAAAAAAAAAAAATTAAAATTAAATCACTTCCTAGAAGTTCTAGCATCCTGGTTCCGCACACCTTCTTGCTGTTTCCTCCGTCCGTGCACTCTGCCTCCCGCCTGCCTGCCTCGCTGCCCCAGCGCTTCTCACCCAGGTAACCCATGTTACCTGCTCGGCATCCAGCCTGGCCTGTCCTGAACTCAGGTGTACACGGCCGCTGTCTGCTCAGCCTGAACAGCAGCATCGCTCCCTGGCTGCATCCAGGGCCTCGGTCATCCCTAACAGACAGCAGCTCTACTCTCGCCTTTGCCAAGGCCACGGCTCCAGTCTTGGCAGCTGCCTCTTTCCTTCTTCTCTCACATCCGTGTCCAGGCCGTTGTCCAAAGCCAGTGCCCCTGTCAAACGTGCCCTGTGTGGCCCCTGATCACATCTCCACTGCTCCCCTCTCCAGGTGAGACCTTCCTTCCTATGTCCATGGGCCACGCGCTCTGCATCCACAACCCGCAGACCGGCGACCCTATCCTAGCTCATCCTGGAGGCAGGCATCTTGTGCCCGCCTCAAGACTGCACCTGCCGTTTTCCTTCCTGCTAACGCCATGTGGCCGCCCCTGCACCTCCGTCACCGGCCAACCGTTCCCTGGGCAGCCCAGGTCGCATTGCCATCCCGGAGGCTCCTGCCCCGAGTCTACCTACCTTACTTTCCTGTTAACACTTCTCGCTGTCCTGCACGCAATGCTGACTTATGGATCTTTCCACCACCGCCTGTGCACCCCTACCCCGGGCAGGGGCTTCCATCGGTGCCGTTCACTGCTGGATCCCGGCACCCGCACAGCGCTGGCCCCTGGCGAAGCCTCAAGGACCGTTGTTGAATGAATGAACACACCCACCTCACGTCATTGCCGCCGTGAGCAAACGACCCGAAACAGGCGGTGAGGACTTGCAGGAAATGGAACAGGAGATGCACCTCGGGCGCGTCCTTCTCCTCCTTCTCCTCCTCCGCAGGGTCCTCTCGTGGCTGGTCAGGATCGGCCAGCTCTGACGCCAGTTTCATCTCCACGCCACCCTCCTCCGCCTCGATCTCCGCCTCTGCCACCGCATTGCAGTAGCTCGAGTAGCTGTCGTAGCGCAGTCTCTTCTTGGAGTAGGACACGGTGTCGCCCACCAGCTTCTCGCTGTCCTCTGGGGCCGATGAGTCCGCAGCTCGGAAGGTGGCGTGCACTGGCAGCCCGCAGATGGCTGCGGTGTAGCAGGTGTAACTGTTGTTACGGCGCAGCAGCCTGTAGTTGCTTTCCTGGGCCGGCTTCTCCTCGGGGCCCCTGTCGATGTGGATTTTGTGCAGCAGGTCTTTGTAGAGCCCCGAGTCTTTGTGCACGGTGTGGTACACATGACCATCGCTCCTGGTATGGCCGTCGAAGCCGAAGGTGCCGTTGGAGACGGGCGATTTCACAGAGCCATGGGTCATGGACAGCGCCCTTCCTGAAAAGGGTTAGAGAAGGTCTCATTTTCCAGTCTTTTTTTTTTTTTTTTTTTTGAGGCGGAGCCTCGCTCTGTCCTCAGGCTGGAGTACAATGGCGCCATCTCGGCTCACTGCAACCTTTGCCTCCAGGGTTCAAGCGATTCTCCTCCCTCGGCCTCCTGAGTAGCCGGGACAAGCGGGACACCATGCCCAGCTAACTTTTTTTTGTATTTTTAGTAGAGACGGGGTTTCACCATGTTAGCCAGAATGGTCTCAAGTTCCTAACCTTGTGATCCGCCCGCTTGCCTTGGCCTCCCAAAGTGCTGGGATTACAGGTGTGAGACAACGTGCCCAGCCCCAGCCTTTCAAATATAAGCAAAGGAAACACTCCCTACTATTTCATGGCACTTATCTCCGGAAGGTTGGGGATGACTTATTAACATATACTTTCTTTTCTAAGTTGGCCATAAAGGACATGTAATATGGTTACCACTAAAAATAATAATAATAATAATAATAAACGTGGAAACATACAATAAAAGGGTAAAACTAAGAATGTGGTATTTTCAAAACATCTTAAGTTCTGCTAAAAAGTGTCTTCCAGAAATTACTATGGCACTTGGCACTTGTTTTCTGTTTCTAGAAACCAACACAAGGAGAATGTTAAGAAACTCATCTTAGAAAAACTTCATACTTGAGACAAAACCCACTTCATGTAAGGTTGATATTCCAGGTACTTCTGTTTTGGTTCTGTTTTTAGAGACAGGGTCTCAGCTCTGCCACCCAGGCTGGAGTGCAGTGGTGCAATCATAGTTGCACACCAACTCCTGGACTCAAGTGATTCTCCCGCCTCAGCCTCCCAAGCATCTGGGATTACAGGTGTGCACCATCATCCCGGCTAATTTTTTAGGTGCATCTTAAAAGGTCAGTCATGACTGTCAAAGGCAGTATCTGAGATGAGTCAGGCAAAATGAATTTGCCTTCTCTGGGCCACATCTGAGACTGCACCTATGGCAGGCAGGTGCCAGAACCCACCGGGGCTGGCTTTGGTGAAGCTGTGCTCCCCTGGTACTGCCACAAACATTGAGAGTCTAAAGGACACAGAATGGTCTGGATGTTTTCTTTTCTTTTCTTTTCTTTTTTTTTTTGAGATGGAGTCTCACTCTGTTGCCCAGGCTGGAGTGCAATGGCGCAATCTCGGCTCACTGCAACCTCCGCCTCCCAGGTTCAAGCGATTCTCCTGCCTCAGCCTCCTGAGTAGCAGGGATTACAGGCGCCCACCACCGTGCCCAGCTACTTTTTGTATTTTTAGTAGAGATGGAGTTTTATAATGTTGGTCAGGCTGGTCTTGAACTCCTGACCTCAGGTGATCCACCCACCTCGGCCTCCCAGTGTTGGGATTACAGGCGTGAGCCACCACCCAGCCAGTCTGGACATTTTCTAAGGTTTCTGTGATTTGATGGTGGGACCACCTCCTTGGTTACAAATTTAGCTTTCTCTTTGCATCTTCCATAGTAAGCTGGGTTAACCGATGTTCAGCAATTTGGTAACTCCTGGGGCATGGAGATCTGCATAAGTAGCTGAGTGGGTGCAGCACAGACATACAGTGTATGGCCCCAGCGCCTCCGGTGAGACTATAAACAGCTCTTGGAAGAAATCACAGGACAAGAGTGAGCCTGCTCTGCTGACTGGAATGGTTTCCTGAGGCCTCCCTAGCTTCTGGGTTTTCTCAAATTATAAAACCGAGGGATCCTTTTGTGCATTAAAACCAGATTGCCCACAGCCAGGCCCAGCTGGTCCTCCCCAGGGAACTTCTCTGTGCTGCCACGGAACCAAAGCTCTCCAGGCACATCTTACCGTATGCAGCCCGAGGGTGGCTGCCTGCAGAGGTGCCTTCTGAGGTCCCCGACGTCTCCCCTGCTGCTCCTGTGAGCGGGATGGTGCTGTCATCATTAGCCTTGGCACCTGGTAGCTCTTTAAATACTGGGGACTCTGCTTCCTGAACTTTACTGAGGCTTTCGTCAGATACTCGTGATAAAGCACCTTCTTTTTGTAATTTGCCTAAAAAAACAAAGTCATACCAAACATTCTGGAAGAGAATTCTTATTATTGAAACATGAATATTAAAAAGTGAATCTGTATCTTTATGCTTTAGCACTGATTTTGGAAAAAAACAAAAAAAGTTATAGCTAGATAGAAAAAATGAAGTCAAAACCAGGTATGGTGGCTCATACCTGTAATCCCAGCACTTTGGGAGGCCGAAGCAGGTGGATCACCAGGTCAGGAGTTTGAGACCAGCCTGGACAATATGGTCAAATCCTGTCTCCACTAAAAATATAAAAATTAGCCAGGCATGGTGGTGGGCGCCTGTAATTCCAGCTACTTGGGAGGCTGAGGCAGGAGAATCTCTTAAACCCAGGTGGCAGAGTTTGCAGTGAGCCAGGATTGTGCCACTGCACTCCAGCCTGGGTGACAGAGCGAGACTCTGTCAAAAAAAAAAGAAAAAAAAGAAAAGAAATAGAAAAAGAAAGTCAAAAGTTCAATTAGTTACCTGGAAAACTCTAGCTAGAAAATTCAGCAATTGAGGAAAAGATGGAAATTTAGGGCCTGAGTTATCATATCCAAAAACAACAACAAAAAGGGTTAGCTCCGAATACCACAGTTCCCTCCAGTGCTAATGTTCTGTAAATCTATAGTCACCTAGACTGGCCTTCTGTTTCTTAAACCTCAGAATAAGAAACTTCAATTTCTGAAAAACTACCTTTTTCAGAAAGTCACATAAATAAATAATAAAATATGTGATTTTTTAGACTGGCTTTTTCTACTCAGCATAATGCCTTTGAAATCCATCCATGTTGTTACATGGATCAATAATGTGTTCCTTTTAATTGCTGAGTAGTATTCAAATGTTCAAAGGCACCACAATTTATTTATTCTGTGAATAATGTGGGTTTTTGGAGATTGCATATAAAGGTGCTATAAACATTCATGTGCAGATTTCTGTGTGAATTTAAGTTTTCATTTTTCTAGGGAAGTATCTAGGAGTGGTTAAGAGTATATTTATGGCAAGTATTAGCCATATAAGAAGTTGACAAACAGTTTCCCTGTACCATTTGACATTCTCACCAGCAATGTACAAGGTTCCAGTTGCTCTTCATTCTTGTAAATACTGACAGCATTTAATACTGTCAGTTTCTTTCTCTCTCTTTCTTTCTCTTTCTCTCTCTCTCTTTTTCTTTCTCTCTTTCTCTCTCTCTCTCTTTCTCTCTTTCTCGGAATTTTGATCTCGGCTCACTGCAAGCTCCATCCCCCGGGTTCATGCCATTCTCCTGCCTCAGCCTCCCCAGTAGCCGGGACTACAGGCGCCCGCCACCACGCCCGACTAATTTTTTTGTATTTTTAGTAGAGACGGGGTTTCACCACGTTAGCCAGGATGGTCTTGATTTCCTGACCTTGTGATCTGCCTGCCTTGGCCTCCCAAAGTGCTGGGATTATGGGTGTGGGCCACCGCACCCGGCCTTTACTGTCAGTATTTTTAAAAAGACGTTCAAGTAGGTGGTAGTAGTACCTCGCTGTGATGTGAATTTGTACTTCCCGATGACTAGTGATGTTGAGCACCTTTTCATGGACTCATCTGCTATCCATCTATCTTTATTTTTTGAGACGGAGTCTCGCTCTGTCACCAGGCTGGAGTGTAGTGGCGCAATCTTGGCTCACTGTAACCTCTGCCTCCCAGGTTCAAGCGATTCTCCTGCCTCAGCCTCCCAAGTAGCTGGGACTATAGGCGCCCGCCACCACACCCGGCTAATTTTTGTATTTTTAGTAGAGACGGGGTTTCACCATGTTGGCCAGGATGGTCTTGATCTCTTGACCTCCTGAACTGCCCGCCTCAGCCTCCCAAAGTGCTGGGATTACAGGCATGAGCCACCGTGTCTGGTCCCATCTATCTTCTTTGGTGAAGTGTCTATTCAAATATTTTGCTTTTTTTTTTTTTTTTTGAGATGGAGTTTCACTCTTTTTGCCCAGGCTGGAGTACACTGGAGTGCACTGGCATGATCTCGGCTCACTGCAACCTCCGCCTCCCAGGTTCAAGTGATTCCCCTGCCTCAGCCTCCTGAGTAGCTAGGATTAGAGGCGCCCGCCACCATATCCAATTAATTTTGTATATTTAGTAGAGATGGAGTTTCACCATGTTGGCCAGGCTTGTCTCAAAATCCTGACCTTGTGATCCGCCTGCTTTGGCCTCCCAAAGTGCTGGGATTACAGGCATGAGCCACCAAGCCCGGCCTATTTTGCTTTTTTTTTTTGAGACAGAGTCTTGCTCTGTCACCAGGCTGGAGTGCTGTGGCGCGATCTGGGATCACCGCAACCTCTGATTCCCTGGTTCAAGCGATTCTCCTGGCTCAGTCTCCTGAATAGCTGGGATTACAGGCATGCACCACCACGCCCAGCTAATTTTTGTATTTTTAGTAGAGACGGGGTTTCACCATGTTGGCCAAGATGGTCTCGATCTCCTGACCTTGTGATCCGCCTGCCTCAGCCTCCCAAAGTGCTGGGATTACAGGTGTGTGCCACTGTGCCAGGCCTATTTTGCTCATTTTTTAATTGAGTTATTTGTTTTCTAAAATTTCTTTTTATTTTTTGAATGCAAGTCCTTTGTAGGTATGGGATTTGCAAACATTTTCTCCCATTCTATTCACAGTGCTTCTCACAGACCAGTAATTTCAAATTTTGATGATGTACAATTTATCAATTTGTCCTTTTTTCCCTTTTTTTTTTTTGAGACGGAGTTTTGCTCTTGTTGCCCAGGGTGGAGTGCAATGGCATGATCTCGCCTCACTGTAACCTCCGCCTCCCGGGTTCAAGCAATTCTCCTGCCTCAGCCTCCCGAGTAACTGGGATTACAGGCATGAGCCACCACACTCAGCTAATTTTGTATTTTTAATAGAGACAGGGTTTCTCCATGTTGGCCAGGCTGGTCTTGAACTCCTGACCTCAGGTGATCTGCCCGCCTTGGCCTCCCAAAGTTCTGGGATTACAGGCGTGAGCCACCGTGCCTGGCCCAACTTGTTCTTTTATAGAACATGTTTTTGGTGTCATATCTAAAATCTCTTTTCTTAACCCAAGGTCACAAAGTTTTCCCTTATATTTTTTTCCCCTAAAAGTCTTGTTTTTTTTTTAAATTTTGTATTTAGATCTATGATGCACTTTAAGCTAATTTTTAAAATAAGGTTTACATTAAGGTTCTTATTTTGGCATATGGATGTCAAGTGCTCCAAAACCATTTGTTGAAAAGACTGTCCTTTCTCCAGTGAACTGTTTCTGTACCCTTGTCTAAAACCCACTGGCCACATTAGTGTGGGTCTATTTCTAGACTCTATTCTTGTTCCATTCATCTATGTGTTTCTCTCTTCCCGAATTCCACACTGCTTTGTGGCTTCATAACAAGTATTGAAGTCAGGTTAATACGAATCCTCCAACTTTTTTCTTTTCTAAAATTGTTCCAGCTCATCTAGTTTCTTTGACTTACTACATGAACTTTAAAAGTGGCTTGTCTAAATCTACAAAATATCCTGCTGGGATTTCTATTTAAATCGTCTAAAGTCTAGAGATGAATCTGAGAAGAACTGGCATCTCTACTATACTGTCTTCCAATTCAGGAGCATGCTTTGTCTCATGTATTTTGGTCTTCTTCGAAATGTGAATCTCCAAATGCAGATATATCCATACTGAAATGTGACCCTATGGTACATGCTGAGACCAAATGTAAATACTTGTTTTTTGAGAGCTCTGTAAAAAGCATGTGGCTTCAAGGCTTGAAATTCAAATATGGGGAATTGGGAATAGGAAAACAGCCCTGACTGACTTCCTAAGCCATATTCTTCCTCTTCTTAAAAACTGTCTTTCCTTTTAATAACATGTGTTTTATTTTTATTGTTTTGTTTTATTATATATATGTTATAATTACTATAACTATAATAATACAATTATTATAGTACTATACAGTAGAGTACTATATTGTATATTATACTATAGTTATTATATAGTATAATAATTATATTATTCCACAGTATAATTATTACAGTACTATAATACAATTATTGTTATAGGTTTTATATATAAATATAATACAATGCATATATATATTTTTTTGAGATGGAGTCGCGCTGTGTCGCCCAGGCTGGAGTGCAGTGGCTCACTGCAACCTCTGCCTCCTGGTTCAAGCAATTCTCCTGTTTCAGCCTCCTGCGTAGCTGGGACTACAGGCACCTGCCACCAGGGCCCAGCTAATTTTTGTATTTTCAGTAGAGACAGGGATTTATTTATCTTGTTGGTCAGGCTGGTCTCGAACTCCTCACCTCAGGTGATCCACCCAACTTGGCCTCCCAAAGTGCTGGGATTATAGGTGTAAGCCACCATGCCCAGTCAAAATTGCATACAGTTTAAGCACCCAGGTGATGACCTGCTGCAAGTGGGCACACCCTAAAGCCCCTTCCCCGATGAAAACAAAGACATTTTATGTCCCTGATAAGTTCCCGAGCTGCCTTTTCCAACCCCCACCCATCCCAGGCGATCAGTGCTTTCTGTTGCTACAGAAAAATTTTCCGTATTCTTAAATTTAATGGAAAGATCCATAAAACTTTTAAATGAAAATTTATGGAAATGCTATGAAAAATGCCAGCATGCAGAATAGCTACTCTTCTGGATCATGGGCTTCTGCTCGGTATCACGGCTGTGGGATGCCTTCCGATGTAGGGTCCCCAGCAGTTCATTCTCTCCATTGCTGCGTGGTCGTCCATCCCATGAATTTACTCAATTTGGTTACCCATTTGCCTGCTGACCAACACATGGGTTGTTTCCACTTTGGGCTTTTATGACGAAAAGATTTGTGTACAAGTTTTTTTATGAACACATGTTTTCATTTCTTTGGATAAATAGCTAGGAGTGAAATTACTGGCCCACATGGTAAGTGTAAGGTTAACTTTATAAAGAAACTGCAAACCTAACTTCCAAAGTGGTTGCACCATTTTACATTGCAGCATAAACCTGGGAGAGTTCCAATTATTTCACTTCTTCACCTACATACGGAATGGCGAGAACTTTTTACTCTTAGCCATTCATGTGGGTGGGAAACAAAATCTCCTTGTGGTGTTAATTTGCATTTCTATGAAGGCTAATGTTTTTCCACAGGCTGGCAGAACTGGACTACACGGTTAACTTTCAGTTACTCATGGCAACTGGGACCTTACTGCCCACCTGGGTTACAACTTATCAAGAAAACATCTGAGCCAGAAAGCACTCACGAACCGAGTGACAGAGGATGGGGTATGTTCGGGAGTCACCCACACTTCCTCTTCCTCCATTAGTAAGGATCATGGCGTATTACATGTGAGGTTTTGGAAATCAGGAGAATTTCTGTAAATCAGAAGAATCAAAAAGCCCATACCTGTTATTTTCCTCCGCATCCACGGACATACGAAGAGCCACACAAAGAAAGCGAACAGGAGGGCGACACCAAAGGAAATGAGGGCTATGGCCCACATGGGGAGAACCAGGCCGAGCACTGGGAAGGAAAATGAGAAGCAGTGTCATTACGGGAAACTTCTACAAGGTTAGGCCTCAGGGCAGTGGAGTTCCCACTCCCCAAATCGAGAATGAATCGCCTGGATTTTGTAGTAAATAAAACTCTCAACCAAAAAAACATGCTGTACTTTTTGGAGTAGAAAGCTGTATGTTCAAGACATCCTATATCTTGCGAATATGTGCTTAAACTAGTTAGTAAGCTAATTATTAAAATTTTACCAACTGGGGTCTGGGTGCTGTAATCCCAGCACTTTGGGAGGCCAAAGTGGGAGGATCACCTGAGGTCAGGAGTTCGAGATCAGCCTGGCCAATATGGTAAAACCCTGTCTCTACAAAAATTCAAAAATTAGCTGGGCACGATGGCGCATGCCTGTAATCCCAGCTACTCGGGAGGCTGAGGCAGAAGAATCGTTTGAACCCAGGAGGGGGAGGTTGCTGTGAGCCAAGATTGCACCACTGCACTCTAGCCTGGGCAACGGAGTGAGACTGCATCTCAAAACAAATAAATAAATAAAATAAAAATAAATAAATAAATAAAATTTTAACAACTGGGCACAAACAGCATATTTAAGTTGGGATGAAATCCATTTACATATTATTTCGATATCTAAATGGCTGCACGCACAAATGCGGCTGAGAGGGGAGTCAGCTGAGGTCGGGCATGATGGCTCACACCTGTAATCCCAGCACTCTGGAAGGCTGTGGTAGGGGGATCACCTGAGGTCAGGAGTTCGAGACCAGCCTGACCAACACGGTGAAACCCCATCTCTACTAAAAATATGAAAAATTAGCCGGGTGCAGTGGCAGGCGCCTGTAATCACAGCTACTCAGGAGGCTGAGGCAGGAAAATCGCTTGAACCTGTGAGGCGGAGGTTGCAGTGAACCGAGATCGTGCCATTGCACTCTAGTCTGGGCAACAAGAGTAAAACTCTGTCTCAAAAAAAAAAGAAAGAAGAAAAAAGAAAGGAGTCAGCTGTCTTCCATCCTGATGCCCACCCCAGCCCAGCCCACCTGTGGCAGGAAGCTGCTATCTGGACACTGCCTGGCTCCCACAACTGAGGCCTCTCCTAGTTCCTCAGCAGCCAGCAGCCCTACTTTAAACAGACATGTGCCCTAGCCACATACACAGAACTTCTTTGAAATCAGTTGAGAAATAAAAGGATTTTTGTTGTTGTTTGTTTATTTTTATTTTTAAGAGACAAGGTCTTGCGATGTTGCCCAGGCTGGTCTCAAACTCCTAGCCTCATGGGATGTTCCTGCTTTGGCCTCCCAAAGAGCTGGGATTACAGGCGTGAGCTACCTGGCCCAAGGAATAAGAGTTTTTTAAAAGGACATTAACCTCAAATTTAACTCTTCTTTGAAGCATCAACTTATGGAATTACAGTGCAGAAAAACTTCACTCAAATCCCATAATGCACACTTAGCAATAATAACATTAGTCAATCCAAGGGTGGACGTGCACATGGTATGAAAACGTCATCTTTTCATAGCACTGTCATATCTCCAGCACTCATCACCCTGAATTTTGTCCATCTGCTGTCAATGGTGACAATAGGCACATTCACACACATATATGCACAAGTTAAACACTCATGCTCGTACATAAACTCACTGGAAGATGTGCAAGAATACTCACCACAGCATTATTTGTAATAGCAAGAATTTGTAGAACAACTTATATATGCACCATTATGAAAATGTGAAATAATTATTGTAGACAGTCTTAAGAATTAGGTAGGCCTATATGTACTGATAAGGAAAGAGGCTCAAGATCCAATGAGTAATGCAGGCTAGTTGTATGATATACACATAGCATCATGCAATTTATGTTTGAAAAATAAAACATCCACCTTTCCACATTCCTGCCATATCTGTGAATTTACAGAAAAAGTTCTGGGAAGATACAGTGGTTTCCAATTTCTTTATGGAGAGATGGGAGACTGGAGTGGAAATTTCACTTTTTATTACATATACTTTTATAGTGGTAACTTAAAAAATATATACAACAAGATAAGGATCTGCGAGAATTTACTAAAAAAAAGTAAAAAACAAAATATAAAAAAGAAAAAGAAATAAAAATATATATACAATAAGAATGTCACTTTTGTAAATTGTTAAAAAATTTAATTCAAAGGGGTTAACTATTTAACACTTTGCTCTTAAATAAATTTGCAGTCTTTGTTATATTGTTAACCATTTTATACATACAAAGCAGCACAAAGTTACTCAACTGAAGTACTATTAGGCTGGGCAGGGTGCCTCATGCCTGTAATCCCAGCACTTTGGGAGGCTGAGGTGAGAGGATCACTTGAAGCCAGGAGTTCAAGACCATCCTGAGCAACATAGTGACACCCTGTCTCTACAAAATAAAAATAAAAACATTAGCTGGGAGTAGTGGTCCATGCCTGTAGTCCCAACTACTTGGGAGGCTAAGGTGGGAGGATTTATTGAGCCCTGGAGTTTGAGGCTGCAGTGAGCTATGATAGTGCCATGGAACTCCAGCCTGGGCAACAGAGTGAGATCCTGCCTCAACAAAACAAAACAAAACAAAACAAAAACACACACACAGAAAAACATACTATTAAACATTTGGGCTGGGCGCGGTGGGTCACACCTGTAATCCCAGCACTTTGGGAGGCCGAGGTGGGTGGATCATGAGGTCAGGAGATCAAGACCATCCTGGCTAACACGGTGAAACCCCGTCTCTACTAAAAATACAAAAAAATTAACTGGGCATGGTGGCAGGCACCTGTAGTCCCAGCTACTCAGGAGGCTGAGGCAGGAGAATGGCGTGAACTCAGGGGGCGGAGTTGCAGTGAGCCGAGATCACACCACTGCACTCCAGCCTGGGCAACAGAGCAAGATACTGTCTCAGAAGAAAAAAAATTTTTTTTTTTATAATTGTAAGAGGTTGTATTAATAGAATAGGTAGTTAATACTATATATAGTCAGAATTAATGTATATAAGTATTAAAAACAAAAATCCAGAATCACCTAGTTCAGTGATAGCGAAGGTCACTGGGGGAGGACAGACACTTAACTGCTCGGCTCCCACCCCCCTGACTACACTGGAGGGCTATGGACTTGGCCCTGCCACGCGGCTGCACTGACACCCAGCAGGCCCCATCCAACGCAGGCTCTGCGCCTGCACCCAAAGCTGAGAGCTGCTTGTGTGACCCCTCGGTTGGTTGCACTGGGCTGTGTCTGGGGCCAAGGCTTCCCAGCGTCTGCTGTCCAGCTTCACGTAGGGGTTCATACACGTGGCAAAGGATTGCACCAAAGCTGGTTCCTGCCAACTCGAATGGTACCTGCTCTTTACCAACCTCAAACTAACAACTGACACCAACACCAATCTCCCACACGGCTTCAAAGCATGGTTCCTGAAGAGGTTTTGCTGCTGCTTCTCTGGTTTTGCTGATGATAAAATTGCTAATTGTGCTACTTTGGCTTAGTGCTACCGTGCCAAACTGATCTACGAGAGGCAAACCCTTCAGACCACAGGGAGAGAGAAGCAATCTGAAATACATATTTCAAAAATGAGTGAACACTGTTGCCATCAGGTCCTATTTTTACCATTCATGCTGAGCCGGGCCCGGAACAGAAGTCAAGAAGGGCTACTTGATGGGCTCCTTCTAGGACCACACCAGGCTCCCAGCAGGGTCACATGGGGTCCCAGATAGTGTCAGGACCAACACCAAAAGGGTGAACCTGAGGTCGGGGGCAAGACTTCTCACCCTGTGCTTAGACTTAAGATAATATCACCTGCCCTTTGCACCTTTGCCGTCACACCTGCCTCTACCACTGATGTGGCCTGGGAAATAGCCAGAAAACTCGAAAATCACCTCCCAGTCATGAGAAACTGGCAGAGGAAGCAGGAGAGAAACACATCACCCAGGGGGAGTGGTGGGGAAACACAGTAACACGTCATGGAGGAGGAAGAAGAGAGAAGGAACTTGGGAAAACAGGGGAAGCTGTTCACAGTAGTGAGAAGGGGAGCAAAATGGGGACAGGATCTTACTGAAGTATTCCAGCAGTTTGGTGATTTAGCAGAGAATCAGACGAGCACAAGGATTTACTTTTAAGGCCTGCATGTGAAAAACGTAAACTGACAATTACCTGTGTTACACAGCTCCAAATTGTACTAAGTATATAAAATCCAGTTTTGTGGATAAAAAACAATTCAATACAAAGATTCAGCACAGGACAGCACCTGAATCAATGCACACCCAAGGCAAACGGTTTTTCTCCTAAAAAGTCAAGACTGGCTTCTACACAACAACGTTTTTGACTAAAATACTTTCTATTAAATTGTCTTTCTGGTACGGATCTCAAATTGTTTCCAAACAATCATGCCTTCAGCAGGCAGTAAGACACGGCTGTCATTTCCCCCTGCGGATGGACATAGTGGGGCACAGCCTCAGTGGCTCATGTTCACTCAGCCAAAAGTGGCTGCCAGGAACCAGCACTGGGAGCTCTGGGTCTCCATTCTTGGCTCTAGCCACTAAATGGCCTTTAATGTCAAGCGCCTTTCATTTGCGGAGCAGCAAAGATACGATGAATAGTGATTTAGCTCTAACCTCAAGCATCTTTACAATTCTATTCCACATTCCCAAAAGATGAGATGAATATTCAAGCCATTTAGGGAGAAGTACATAGAACTTTTTCTACAAGCTCAGTCTCCATTGTTATTGCCTTGTACTTCTTGTTTTTCACATCTAACACTCATGACTAAGGATCTATAAACAAATAAAACTTATATGGGACCGATAAGGCTTTAGTCCATATCAGTTTCCTTATACCATGACCCATCATCTCCTCCCTACAACCTTCCTTCTCAGTGACTCAATGCACAGATTCTCTGTCTTCATTATATAAATAATCTATGCTCAGCGTAAAAATATCAGCAGTACCTACAGAAGTGTATGACGGACAAATATGAACCTTCCTCATCATCCTCCCCTCTTCAACTTATTTCCCAGG